AAGAGCACATGAGTGAGTTCATATCTTGTTGACCAATAAAATTTTATATTTTTGCTGACTCTCTAGTGAAAAAACTACTGATAACAAATCAAAAAATACTTTACAGATTATAAAAGTTTTTCCATTGTACAAAGGAGACTGCGAGGAGGATATTAGTGTTATCTATTTCAGTTGCTAAGCAGCTTGCTTTGTTGTTCTGTAAGCTCGGATGGAGAGTGAGATTTGACAGTGGTCTGAGAGAATTATAAAGATGAGATCTGACCAAATTAAAGCGAGAAAATTCGTTGTTCGGCAAGTTCGTTGCCGATATATTGGCCAACTGCCACGTTGGGTTTAAATATACCTACTCAATCATATGTGGCCATGTAAAATGTTGGTTCACTACGATATCCACCTCTAGTCCGAGTGTAGTCATCCTATTTAGGATTACATTCGTGTAGGAATTACTTTACAGTATTTTCAAACAAATATCTCAATCACAGGTCCTACTCAGCCTTGACAATATTACACATTGTTTGAACTGCAGTTTACAATAACTTATCCCCTGGGTACGTTTACAATCATCATGACCGTTCGACATTGTAGCGATTTCCTGGCTGTAAACATTTTTTTAACTATACTGTGTAGGTCGGGTACCTACCTGTTTTTTTTTTTTACTTCTAATGGTCAGGTAAGTAAGGACATAATGTTCCTTCTAGGAACTGCAAGATGCAGTTAAATACTTGCAAAAAAATTACCTTTATCTTTCTTCAGGTATAATTTTGTATTACAATTGTAATAAGGTCGAAAGTTGCGTGACAAATATATTCAATAGCAATGTGTAAATACATTGTTGGTTAGAAACTCAGTACATTGGAGTTATAATACGCAGTGGGGTCGAAAAAGGCCAGAGTAAGACCCTTTTTTTATTTATGCTTTGTTGTTTTCGCGTGGAGGTCGCATTTTATGTTCAATGAAATGCGAATATTTCGTGTTGTATTGTGTTTTAAATATCCCATGTCATCACTACTTGAATATTGTTAAAGTACAGTTTTTATTCATTACTTTGTCATATGCGTATATACAATTCTGATATTTGCAGTTATATCTAATTAATTTATTTTATAAGGTTGTCAAAAATAGATGGGTAATAAGGTAGCTTCTATTCGATATTATAATTTGGTATATTGAATTAGACTTCAACTCGCGACTTCATAAATATATCCTTCTTATATCGTTAATAGTAAATAATAATAATAATAAAACGACAATCTCTATCCTAAGTACTTTGTAAAGTAACTTTAATTTATGATTTATTAAACCGGTAACAAAACCGATTTGGATTATTTATTTTTATTTGAAGAGATACATTTTGCGATTGGTACCATAGAAATTTCATAAAAATCGATTCAAGAAGTAGGTATGCACCTAGTTTATTTTCAATATCGATATAACAATATAACTTACTACTACCTCTTGTCATAAACTACTTATAGAGAATACTATAATATATATAATAATGTACGCATACTATACATTATAGTGATAACGGTATATGGTCAGTAGAAGATGATAGTGCAAAAGTGAAATCAGTTAACTATAAACACGAACCACTAGATTAACAACAAACTTTTTAAACATGCATTTACAATAACGGTCAGGATACATTACATAAGAATTAAGTTTGTATTTATATCATTGTAATACAGTCTATACACGAATTGATTTGTGTTGCTTAAATTGAAGACATTATCATAACAGTTTTAAGTACAAAGAGTTCTCTATAAAGTATAGTTGAATTAAATCTACACTTAAAACACTTTAGTGTATATTCATTGACATTTAATGTATACGATTTTGTAAACAATAAACGGGTTTAAACAAATATAGCTACGCAGTAAACCGTTTAGTACATTGTAAAATAAATATTGCTAATTATTTTTATTGTTTTGAATTAACATTAATGTTCATACGAAGCGTTGTACTTAACCGTTTTACAGTACAATTACATTATTTACTACAAATTGAAAATTTGTTTATAATTTACTTTGTACAAGCTGATATTTATCTACATTATATTTTACATATAAAAATGATTGACGTTTATTAGTCATATTAGTAATAGACGTTTTTAGCTTATTATATTATACATAGATTTAGCTTATTTTTCTTAATAGTCCAAGAAATAGACAAAAGTAGAGAAAATATGATAAATTGCAAAAAAAAAAAAAAAAACAACGTAAAGGAAATAGTTTCGTTTTCTCCATATAAAATTACGAACAGTTTAGTCATGTCTTTCTAAGTTTAGTCATAAAATATTCAATTTTAGGATGGTACTACGATCGCCATGTCAGCAAGTAGGTTCAGCATAAATTTATGACAAAACTAGCAACCTTATTGATAGCCTATTTTTGGGTAAAGTACTTTATTATAGAAACTGAATAGGTAATCTACATAACAAGTAGTCATTTCAATCAATTTTGGGCAATACTTGCCAATTATGGAATGATAATAGTCAATTATGAACGTACGATAAATATTTAGAAAACATTACAGCGAAGACAGTTATGTTTTATTCGACTTGAAATGAAGACACTTAACTCCTATTTTCCTATTTTAGAATCTCAATTGCTTTCATGTAAAGAACCTTTAAGTACGGTACAATTTGGTACCCGATTGATCCGGGCGATTTGTTGGTTCCTAATAAACTAACACAGTAGGTAGGTAACACAACAGTTATTGTCTTTACTGTTATAACTTATTACAATATTAATATTTCAATGTAATTCTTAAGAACAACATATAATAAAATCAAAATAATAATTTGGAGAATATTATTTATTGAAGGCATTTTTTATATAATTGGAATGACAAAAAGCTAACGGCTGACCTGACCCTAAGCGAACATCATGACGCTCGTGACATATACGTTCCTATTCAGGTGGACAAGCCTTGTAACCTGAAATCTCACCCTTTGATAGCTTATAGAACAGCTTTGCTTGATCTGTAGTTAACTATACTAACTGGTTAAAATCCGATAATTAACCTAAGTATTAGTTATAAATAACAAAATTCTGTATTTCCAACGTTAGTTAAAGTAACTATATTTAAAAATACTAACAGTTGGTCTAAAAAGTTAACCACCCATGAAATATATAATTTTACAAGAATTTAACTGACGCACTTATTTAATTAAAAACTAACAGTTAACTTTTACAAATATAAAAATATGACAAATAACACTGCACATAAAAATGTACAGTCACAGTTTCATATTTAATAATTGTGAATTTCTTGTGAATAAATAGAATCTTTAATTTAGAAGAACCCACTAATCCTTCTTTACAATAAATTGACCACACAAAAAATATGGTCAACATTATCGTCCCTTATTATCTGCGGGCACGGTTGGTTGATCTGCCATTTTGGGTTCCGTACCTGCTTCATTTGATGTTCCGACTCTCTTTGTGTTTAATTAGCCCTTAAGCCTTTCCAAGGTTCAGTTTCGTACCTGATGCAGTTGTAAAATGTGAAAGTTGAAATGATTGTGTTCGGTAATATTGTCGAGACGGTACAAGAAGACTTTTAGGGTTAAAATGTGAAATGTATGGATTCTTTATTTATTTCTTTAGTATTTGTATTTATGATTTTCAAGTGGTGGGGTGGTAACAACTTGCCAAAATCATAAATACAAATACTAAAGAAATAAATAAAGAATTTACGCCGAAAAGAGAGAAAGATTATTTCATCTGTAAAAAGCTAAATGCAAATAATGCATCTGCAATATTTCAACTGGACAGCGCTGCTGAATACAACTATCATACATAATGATTTTCATTCTATCTTTCCCATTTCTCATCATTATATTTGAATTAAATTAAAATAAATAAAACTACTATATATTATATAACCATGATTAACAAAAACAGTAGTAATTTAATTATATAAAGGCTATATGAGCGAATAAATATCCGACGGATTATCGCGCGAACAAAAGACATCAACGCTTCCGAGAGCACGCTTCAAATTGGCCTACAATACATCATACTGTTAAAACTATTAAAATAAAGTTAACAATGATGGTTAACTTAATATCATAAAATTGCAGTTGACAGTCTATTTTTGTAAATTAGTTTCATATAAAGTCAGTAGTAAACTGACTTTAATAACATGAATAACAGTTTATAATAATAATTTTTAATTATATATTTTTTAATATAATAATAGTTTATAATAATATTTCAGGATAATTTACACAGTGTCATCTAGTCCCAAGGTGAGCAGAGCTTATATTATGGGTACTAGACAACTAATACAAATACATAGATACTTTTTTTAATGCATAGAAACATATTTGTACCGTTCAAGGAATCGAACCTGCGATTTTCGGAATTAAAGCGATATGCTAAACACTAGACCACCGAGGCCATCACCTATGTATTTGAATGTTAACTAAATTACTTTAATTAATGTTTTGTACATCGAAATGTAACTGTATCATATAATATGCATTTGTAAGAATTCACAGGCAATTTTATACACATATTTTGAGTTATTTAGATTTAAGAATTGTTTAAAAAATGTAGATAAAAGTAATAATATCAGACAGTGATAATTGTACTAAAACAAATACCTTTAGCAAACGGCCCACTATATGATTTGTGAATTGCTAAATAATAACTGAATTATAAATTATATTAATTAAAGTTAAGAGCTGTATTAATTAAAAATGGCAGTATGGTATGTGCTATAACACTTCATTAATATTATAATTATAGACATTGCAATTTCTCAGCGACTACACGTTATGTATAGTCTATTTTTTATATATCTGGTCAAAATATACGTAGATCAATATTATTTATTTATTTTATGTATTTTAATAGCTCATAATCAATTGTTATTAAAACAGCCGTCCTATGAATCCTTAAACTGAGGATATATGTAACATTCTCATTTTCAATTAATTTCATTCTTTTCACTCATTTCATTATAATATAATATATATAAAAATGACTTACGATCATCTAATTCTTCCTCAAAATCTGAAAAACATCTCTCCTCTTTCAGTGGCTGGTTATCAGGCTGTTGGTAGAACCTTTCCGATTTTATATACATTTTCAAATACATCACTTTCAATTGTCATGAAATTTATACAACTTATTTCAACATAGACATACAAAAAATATTCACAGTACAACACTAGTTATTGAATGCACTGATAAAAAATAAAGGTTAGTTTTATAAAAACACTAAATATAAAGTGTATTATACACGACACAAATCTAAAAGTTACATATATCAAAGTTATTGTTAAACAAAACACGCTTAACAATGCAATAACAAAACACAAAATGTCACGAACTGTCAAAATTGTTTGGTCCAATATCCGTTTATGTAAATGCACACTTTGGACACGAGTTCTAGAGTAGTTAATAATCGAATTACGATTCGGACGTTATCGATATATCGCGGCGGTACGGACGCGAGGTGCGCGCGACTCTACCGAGGTGCACCGACGCACTGGCGACCCGATGCTCGCGGCCGGTGCTTCGGACCCTTAACAAAAAATACAGGTAGTGCCTTTGAACTATACAATCATACGATTTACAATTTTGGTATTCCCGCAATGACATTTTTGTAACAGCCCCGCGTCGCATAGAACGAAATATTTTTGGATGCATTTACTTTTTTAATATTACATATTTGCAAGCAATTGATTGTGTAATTTAATTTTGCAGCATTTGTCCTTATATATTATCATATTATATTAATATGTAAGGTGAGACCAAATTTGTACCTTATTTACGAATATTGCGCGGTTGAAGTTGTATCAAATTTCGCACACATATAGTTTATATAGAGATAGAGTGCATAATTGTAATAGTTTATTAAAATGATGCATAAAAAATAGATAAAAACGATAAAGACAATACTACACCTGCTACAATGTATTTGGCATACAGACAATGTATTTGTTTATTGTTAAAGTCTATGGTCAAATTAAAAATAGATTAATGTTGTTTATCAATAATAATACTCATCTATAGTCTTACTGAACGTAAAATCATTTATAGTTGAATTTCGATCACTTAGCTACCATAGTAATATAAAAATAAATAAGACAGAACTGGATAGTGAGTATAAATATGATCTGTATTAACTTGATTGGATTGAGACTCATGAAAGGAGTGTTAATTATTACAATTGTTTATATACGCAGTAACTTTGGTTAATCCTGAAAGCACTTGAAACATTTATATATATGATAATTTCTGTAGAAACATATATTTCGATAATTCTTCCGAGTTTTAACTATATAAATGGATATTTCGTCTACACAAACCTTTAAACCATAGGTGATGCTAGTTTTACTGTTACATTCATAAATAGTGTATATTTTGAGGAAAATGTTTGTTATAACGTAAATTACTATATACGGCTGGTATATAAATACATCGAATAAGGAAAATACCACGTGCTTATAAGTAAAATCAACATCTAGCCTATAATATGTTTATTTTACCATTTTATTTATTTAATCTATATAAATAAATAAAATTAAAGTTACTGTTTGTAATTTCAAATTCATGTAGCCAAATGCATATGAAAGTATATATGGTATTTAGATAAAAAGTATGGTAAGGAAAAAATAGTCTGTTTGTGGCTTTGTTTTTGATAATCTCTAAAACGGCTGAACGATTTTGACGGGACTTTCATTAATATAGCAGATAGTTACAAAGAGTATCTTAGGCTACTGATATTTTTGTTTTTTTTTAAAAAAGGTAAATAATAAATAAATTTAGCTTTATATTTAGATTATATTAGACGGAGTGGACGGATTATTTTATCCATGCAGATGTAGTCACGGGTAACAAGTTTAATATTATAAATGCCACAGAGTGTCTGTCTGTTTGTTAATTTTTCACAACTAAAAGGCTGAATGAATCTTAATAAAGTTTGACATGAAGATAGATTGTATCACAAAGATGTAGGTACTATCATGAACTAGCAGAAGTAGTCACGGGTGAAACTAGTATTCTATGTTCAGAAACTCAATGATTCTTTCCAATTCTGAATATTTATAGCCTGTAGTTTCCTGCCATTTTGCCCATTTGTTGTTCGGATTGCCGATTTCTTTTTCTTTCCCTTGAGCATCACGTAGTTATGATTTTGCTTTATTTTTCCTCTCTATGAATTCTGTGTTTAACCCAGAGCCATTTCAAGTATCTAGTTTTAATAGTTACATATTATTTTCCTATAATTATATTTCTACACTTTTCCTAGTAAATACTATTAAATAAAATAAATAAATAACCCTGCATAATTAACACAGCGTTATCTAGTTCCACGGTAAGCAGAGCCTATGTTATAAATGTATTACTTTTTTTTTGTAAAGATATACATAATATACATAGAAAATATCCAGACCTATACAAACAATCATACTAATATTATAATACAAATGTTTGTAGCGTGAGGGGCATCGAACTCGCGACCATCGGAAGTAAAGCGGTGTGCTAAACCCCGCTAGACCGCCGAGGCCGTCGGGGTTCATTTGTACTCATCAGCCTGTCCGCGTTTAAAAACCATCCTAATAAATTCCTGCTTAATTTAGCACGATGACTAATTGACCTGACTTCACGCATATTTTGTCTCCGGTTCATCATTTTACTATTTTATTAATATTATAAACGTGTAAGTTTGTAAAAGGGGATGGATAGACGGATGTTTGTACTCTTCACACAAAAAACTACTAAATATATTTTAATGAATGATGATGATGAAATGAATATTATGAACTGAATAATAATATACGTCAGATTAATACATAGGCTACAAATTTCACGCGGAAGAAAGCGCGAGATAGCTAGTGCTCCATAAAAAAAAAAGTAAATTTAACATTACTGCATTATCATTTATATCAGAATAAAGGGATAAATTACAAACCAATAAACTTAATTTATATTTATTCGAAAAACTATATTAATGAAGTTATAAAAATGTAAGTTATTCAAACTTGGTCGTATTATATGACTTGGCTGAGAGCTTCCTGCTGAGTGAAAGGTCGCCACATCCAGTTGGTTGCGGCAATAAATATTTCGCCTATTCTGTGCCTCTACCAATTTCATGTGTCAATAATATTACATATTTACATTTTTTATTACGTTTTCATAAAACGCAGAATTTAAAAAAATACAATACATATATTATTGACCTATTAAAGTTTCGTTGCAAAGAAAAAAATTAATTAGAAACATATTTAAATAAAGGAATTATTCAAAGGAAAACTTATTGTGTAGTAAACTGGAACAGAAGGGCTGAAGATCGTGCCTAGTGGCTTGCCTTGGTAGAGGCACATCCAGTAGTCGACTGCAGTGGGCTGGTGATGATGATGAATAAAAAATATTTACTACTCTTTTGTATATAATTATACAAAGTACTTTTGTTATATACTATATAACAAAAGTACTTTGTAATAGGAATGTCCAACTGATAAAAAATATTCTGCGTCTACAATGTTACTGTCAGCTCTCGTGCTATAACACAAATTGGTTATAAAATATAGTAACTCATAATATTGTAAATTAGGCTCGGCATAACAAATAATATAATTAAGGTCCACATTTTATTCAAATATTGGTTTGTAAATAATTTATTGGCTGACGGCTACCGTGTTACAGCTGTTATAATTTTATGAACAATAACTTTGGTTTTGTAGTTACAATCGGTCAGCGTGGGCGTTTAACATATACAGGTTGCTTGTTTTATTATATATAGTAATATATGTATATTCTAATATTATCAACAGGAACGATTTAACTGATTAGTTACTCTCAGAAAATTTTTGTCTTATTTTCTAAATTCCTTTATTGTTTTCTTTTGTTTCTTTAATATTAATTTTCATAAAACTTATAAAATTAGGAGTATGCGGACGAAGTCGGGTGGTGCAACTAATTTATAATAAAATATTATAGAAATATGTAATTACATAAAAAAAACTTAACTACTTAAAAATACATTTCAGACAGCGTGTAGCTAGAGCGGTCGATAGTGTAAAAAATATATTAAATAATAATTTCTTTGTTATAAACATCATGTATTCTATAGGTCTGTATAGTACATAAATCAGCAGATAAATTTGCCAATGTGAATGTCCGATTGATCTGCCCATAATCTAGTTCTCGAGAGGTGCTCCTTTTAGTCACTCAAAGTAGCAATTATGTCGAAAGGACCATTAAAACCGCCATTTGATTCTGACGTAAGTAAATTAAGTAGATGAATGAAATGGCAGATTGGTATTTAAAATAATTCTAAATGTCAAAAATCCATTTGATGTTGTTAAATTAGTACGTAGGTAGATAATAATTATATGTAAAAACAACTATAGAATAGAATTTTCTAATGGCTGAGACATTTCTTCCTCCCACTATATTAATAGTTATGGTAGTTAACACGATAATGGCTGTGTGACTTTAAAAGTAAAAGAGAAAAACAGGCCACAGCCTGTTTTTCAGTATACTACAGGTATACTGAAAAAAAAAATTAAGTGACTACCAAACTTCAGTAATAATCACCAAAGTGTTGATTGATATGTATTATTATTATGTTTAGTTCAATCTTGTGAATATAAACAAAACAATCTGGTTTAATATTAAAATGTAGTTATTTCTAGAGTAACTTCTAATTTATTTGATAATTTTTTCAGTGTATGTCTCATACTGTATGATACTACGAGTCGCAAAATCATAATTACATTAGCATGATTTGTGGTCTTTTATGGATGATGATGGAATGGTGGATCATTACATTGCCATATAAACGGTTTAAAATGGAATCCAGGGTAAGCATATTTCAACATGTCAGTATATGGTCACCCATCTTAAAAATAACCGGACTTAAACGTTGCTTAACCTCTTCAAGTAGCATTCATTTGAGCGTTACGAGATGATGTATGTTATTACGTTATTAGTGTTTATTAGAAGCGACATCGCATTACAGCCGCAATTTATCAGTTTCAAATTACTTATAAACAAGGTTCGATTTCGAATATGTTAATAGGAGACTAAAACTAGTAATTAAAATTTGCGCATCAAGGAGTCCGTATATATTATTTTTTATATATATAGAATACTAATCTAGGTATATTAACATTAAAAAGAGATAAAGTTAATAAGTTTGGATGTGGGTAATCTCCAGTATTAATAATCCGATTATGAAAACTTTTGGTTTTGGATAGTTAATTTATCGAGGAAGGCTATAGGCTAATGTAATAGTAGTGTAATATGTATAGTTAGTAAAAATCACGGGATCATACCACGTTTTATATTTATTTGCCGAGGTCCCGATATTTCGGCAGTGTTTCAACCACCATGATCACGGGTAAACTGAGTTTACCCCTGATCATGAAATAAACTCAGCAAATAAATATAAGACGTGGTAAGATCCCGTGATTTTTACTAATTATACGTATAAATAATGACCGCGTCAAGTTTAAAACAGTATATAG